CCCTGTCATTTTTCACAAAGATCTAAACTAAATATCTGGATTTTTATTGCTAATTTATCTTAGATTATAATCTTAATATTTAATTTTTTTAGTATTTGAAGAACAAAGTATGAAATTTATGAATGCTTACTAATTTTCCTTATATCTTCTATAGAGAACTCTTCTTTGATTGAAATAAAGTTATTAAATTAATTTTTAATGTAACTCAGTTGGTGCTTCTTTAATAGACATGATTTATGTTAATGCTAATTCAAATGGCTCATGGACGTTTTCTGAATTTTAGATTTATTTTCGTCATTTTCCCATTTGCAATAGAAATGACTTGATTCTTTTGAAGGATATCTCTGAATATTTTGATAGTATCTCCATATGTAATTCATTGTATTCTTTTACTCTATAAATATTATTAACATCAAAGATTAATATTTCTAAATTATAATCAATCAATGCTAAGCTATTATATTATAGTCTTTTATCGTTTTTATGGATTTAAACATCTATCAATTAATGTTACTAATGTGTTTTGCTACTCCAACTTATTAGTAAAATTTTATGCAGTTGCTTTAATTTATATGGTAACGATAATTTTTAAGGTATAATATTTTTTTAATTTTTATTCCCTAATCTGATATTTTTAATCAATTCTTATTGCTTTTGTTTACCACTATCAATTTAGACTATCTTTAGATGCTGAAAAGGGATAGTAAACCCTAAATTGGAATATATATATATATATATATATATATATATATATATATATATATATATAAATGAAAGAATACCTAACAACTACACTTTTCTTTGCCAAGTTTTAAAATTTCATCCTTTTTTATGGTTTTAAACTTTGAGGATGTGATTTGTAATTTTTAAAACTTTAGGAGTATTTTAAAAAAAATACTTTTAAGTTTGGTGGTTGTAACTTCTATGTTTCATGTGTCGGTGGTAATTTTTAAATATCACGATATATCTTACAACTCTAAAATATTGATGCTGCTTTTTATAATTGTTAAAACGTAGATTAAATTTTAAAAAATTTAAATTTCAACGGTCTACCAATAGTTTTTAGATTTGATGTGTACTGGTTATAAATTTTAAAAATTTAGAGTTTTTTATGATTTTTAAATTTTGAAAGAGTTTTTTCTATAACTTTTGTAACTTTGAGGTTAATTTCAGCAAATTTTAAATTTTTAGGTGCATGAGGGTAATCTCTTTAATTCATCTTTTGTTATTTGTAAATTTCAAATTTTTAAAATTTCGGAGTTGTTTTTTATAATTTAAACTTTTGAGTGTGTTTCTATAATTTTTAGGACATTGAGGGTGTTAATTGAAAATTTTAAATTCTTAGGAGGCTGCTATTAATTTCTTGATTTCATATTTGTTGTTTTAAGTTTTAAAATATCAAAAAATTTTAGGTGTGTTATGGTAATCCCTTGAATTCATTTATGTTATTTGTAAGTTTTAAAATTTTAGAATTTCAGGTGCTTGTTTGGAATTTGAACTTTTGAGGGTGTTCCTATAATTTTTGAGATATTAAGATGTTAACTGTAAATTTTAAATTCTTCGCAAACTAGTGTTAATTTCTTGTTTTCATGTTTGTTGTTTTAAGTTTTTAGACGTCAAGAAAGTTTTTATAATTTTAAACTTTTCAGGGTATTTTGTGCAATTTTAAAACTTTTTAGGCTTTTTGTAATACTTTATGTATTATAGTATGTTAGCTACGTATAATTTCTTTATCTTTACAAACTAATACCATGAAGATGTTTTATATATTTTATTAATATTATTTTTTAAATTGTTAAGCTATAAATACTTCACATAAGATTAGGATAGGATATAATTATGATTAGGATAGATTAAAATATAAATGAAATATTTAAAATAGTGAAGGGCAATATTGACCATAGAAAGATTTTTCCAAACTCGTGCTTTTAAAGGGAGTATGATATATGTTTAATATGTGTTTGAGTGGAGGCTCATGTACAAATTTGTTCCCTAACGTCAAACAAATATTTCATATTGATCTTCTCTGCACTTGATTGTCATGCTAATATGATGAGATTTGTTTTGTATTCAATGGGAGTCATGCCATAGATACCAACGAACCCAAATTGAGTGCTCAATTAATTTTAAGAATACTTGAGTTTTTGTTTTCAATGTATGTAAAATCCTAAATAATCAGTTCGTGTTTGGTAACCAAAGTGTTTCTTTTTATAGTGATTTTTTAAAAAACACCATACCATGGCGTTTATTTTTCAAATGTGTTTTCAAAACACCATTTATAGTTATTATTTATATAGCGGCGGCGGCGGCGGTGGCGGCGGCGGAGGGCGACGGCACGCCGGCGGGCACACGGTGACGACCCGGAACAACCACGACCGGCGCAGCGGCAGACGACGGGTGGGCGGCGACAGGCGGCGGTCGCCGCGGCCGATGAACTGGCGACGAACCGGTGGCAGCCGCAGGCGGCGCGGGCGCGGTCAGGCGGCGGTGCTACGGTCGGCCGACCCGACTGACCTGCGGTAGACGGGACGGAGGGCGACCGACCTACCGGAGCGGTGGCCGTCGGCCCGTAGTCGGCGGCGGCGGCGCGCGGAGGTGGCGGCGCTGGCGGCGAACGGCCGACGGGATCAGCGGTGTTAGCGGCAACGGACGGTCCGACGGGCAGCGGCTGGCGGCGGCGGCGGCGGCGGGCTAGCGGCGGCGGCGAGCGGGCGGCGGACGCCGGCGGCAGCTACGGTGACGGGCGACGTACGGTCACCGACAGCACGACGGCGGCGGCCGGCTAAGCGTGCTGGCAGGCGGGTGGCGGCAGCGACGGCAGCGGCGGGCGCCACGAGCAGTGGCGGGCGCGACGGCCCGGCCCGTCCGAGCAGCAGCCGCGGTGGGCGGGTGGGCGGCAGGCGGCGACAGCGGCCGG